TTTTTTAGGTGTTACATACATGACCTTGCATTATTATTATTATTCAACCATAGTTTATGTTAAAACTTAATTTTGATATCGCATCACATTCTATCTATTATTTAATTATAATAGATAAATATTTGAATCCAAATTCCAATCCTTGCTACATCAGCCAGTAGTTAAAAACAAAAGCCATAAAACTGTAAAAGGTACTAAACAATACAATTTTGGTAATAATAACTGTAATAATTTGTGTAAACACAACTATTAAAACTATTTTCTATCATAGATCTGTTGTCGCTCCTTGACTATATTTATAACGGAACACGAGTCGGTCCTGTATCATATTGTACATTACTTAATATGCCTCATTTATCTATAAAAAAAAAAGTTAGATTACAACAAACACTTATCAATATTACTTTAATTTTATTTTTATGGTTGTGGCTAAATAATGACTAATGAACACCTATCGTCAAGATAACATCTTCAACTCTTATATTTTACATAATATTACGCTATTTTTCATTAAACATTATTATCTTGAGATTTTATTGTTTTGTTATGTGTTATGTACTCTATTGGAGGATGTGTGCTTACTGCTTTCCGTGTATACTTTGTATACATTGACAAACAGCTATACCATATTATGCATTGTATTATTGCCCATCTGTTTAAATCACGTACTTAACTATTCAAGATTACTTAATTATAAATGGTTTTTTTTTCTATGGGTGAATTTATAAACTACAACAATAGTATATGTATAAAAAAATTCGTTGGACACTTGACATTCGATTCGTTCATTTTTTTCGTTCACTGTTCAAATACGATAAACGTAATATTAAATATGAAGTTGTGTGTGTAATTGAGTGTTTAAATTTTAATATTTTATTGAAGTATCTAATCTATTTACCCATCAATTGCGTTAGCCTGACATATTGTCGATATATTCAATTGTGCAGAAGGAAAAACGACTTGTGGCTAAGTATTTATTACAAATAATTATTGTTTATACTCGCCGAGTTCATATTTAAATTAGTACCTCGGTACCTAAATACTAGTTGAACGCATAATACATTTGCAATTCACATAGAAAAATAGCAATGAGCCGTTTTTTTCTGGTTATCTTTTCTAAGTCATTTTTTCTTCTGTTGTAATCTGCGAGTTTGAACTATTATTGCTGTGTACGGTTTATCAACATTTTATCTAATATGGACTATAATGTTATTATAAACGTTGAACTAATTATTAGTTGTTTTTTTTATCCGATGCCATATTTTGGTTATAATTTGAATTTTGAAGATTTATCTATATAATAATATAATAAATATATCAATTCAAATGATGTAACATGGGGTATTCTGTATTACCCCTTGTTTTCTAATTTTAAAACTTATTCAGTTTTTAATACATATATACGTACAAATTGTTTTGGTTTATATAAGTAAACCATGTCAACTGTTACATACTACTTTATAATAATATTTGTATTTTATGATCCCGTTTCTTCTCGGGTTTAGATTTATTATAATGTAAGTACAAACATAATAATATAATACCATGAATGATGTATATTAACCGAACCCGACCGTTTAGAGTACAACGGTTCTGTTATCTTCACTTAGAAGTAAAGTGTGTTCAAACCGTGTGGGTGATGTTATCATGTATATACGCAGTATAGACTTTTTTGTTTATCTTATCGTTCACAATCGACGTATTGCGAGTAGAAAATCATTTATGATGTTTTACGCTTGTTGTGATCAAACATTAGTGTTGGACTGTGATGGGCAGCATTTATTGTCAATTATATTGCAATAGTTATAACATAACAATACTTATAGAATACAACACTATTACAATATTTATAGAATCGACTTTAAATTACGAAACTTACTTACGTTACTTACTATTGGAAGTTATTCGTACAGAAAAACGACTTCCACCGTCATTTGTTCCCAGACGTTAGCCAAACTCAAAAAACACAAAATTACAATTGAAAACGCGATATATTCGCCAAATTATATATATCTATATGTATATTATATAATCTTATATACATACTCGGTTAACGTTTAGCGTCCGCATAGATTTTCCGATTGACCCCCAGCCCAATAACATTTATGTTAAAACATAAAAATTGTATTTATTTGGAAACTTAATATAATTGAATTCAACGGATTGTTATGATTATTGTGAGCGTCAAGTCCGAGAAATTTTAGCTTCATCGCAGAGCTGAAATAATATTGTTATTTTTCTCGTTGTATATTAATTCGTGAAAAAGTGTGTATTCGTTAAGAAAAAGATTATTTGCTTTTATCAGTTATCCAGTTGTTTTACCAAAACACATTGTTGACAAAAAACGGGAAGCTTGAGGAGTTATTTTTTTCTCATTAATTATTACCACACTTACAACACAACGACCCAAGTGCACTATAATCTTATGATACTTAAGCTTCCTCCACGTGTAATCTTCCAATACAGTAGCATTTGTATCACACGTGTTATACTGATTTATTTATATATAATAATCATCTCAACGGTAACGCTAAACAGACAAAAGGTACCCACATATGCCAGGGACATTATCAGGGACCAGGGACACGTGCCTCTCCCGGATGGTAGGTACACGGTGGTGTTGGCGTCGCCGGCGCTTCCATTTCCTGTTTAATGATAATAAAAATAATGTATTCCACCATATTCAAGACCACCCGGAGCAATAGTGTCTGGCTCTTCATTCGAAGGGGATGCGTAAAGACAAAAGAGGGTTTTTACATAATACTTTGTCAGTGTTTTTTTTTTATATTTTCAGTGAACGGTGCCGATTAGTATTTTGCTAATTACTTAAGGAGAATCCGGCATGAGCATTATGGTCGTTTTATCGCACTGAACGAAAAACCGCAGTAAAATATTGACGCTAAAATTTAACAGTATGATTTTATTATCATGAAAAATAAAAATTTGACATATCGGAGGATCTATCAGAAACCCTCGGTCCTCAACCCGGGGCCATTAACAGGCTTGTTAGTTTTATGACCCAGACCAAATTATGCAGTTGTATATGAGGGTGTTCTGTTTCTACACAATGTAATAATTTAATGTAACCCAATGGCCTTTGCCGCCGAGGGAAATAATAAAAAAAAAAAAAAAATTTGACCAAATACTTGAAACGTCAAGTAAAATATTTATCGAATTGATAATTTTAGATTTATTGATTTTGTCTAATTATTTTTTTTAATGATAAATAGGAATTTATTATTTTTACGTTTTAGAAGCGTATAGAATAAGCTCTAAATACACTAAACGTTTATTTTACAACGCTGAAGGCGATTTAAAAAATAACTTGACAAGCTAGAAAAACTCTTAAGCCAGAATCCAATATATCAAAGAAATAAATGTATTTAATAGATCTTTTATTTTTATACTTGCACTTATTACAGAAAAATGTATGTGTTTGTTGTAAAATTACAATATGTTTTAATTAATAGTCTAAAACTACTTATAACTACTGGTATATAATATTGTATGTGATAGTGGTAGCTTACCCACCTCTGCAGTTTAAAATTTAAATGTCGCATTAATCAGTAATAGTTATTGATCTGACAATAATATCCCCTATAACAACCTGCTCTGTACGACCTTTACCTATATGTACTCTTTGACCGTTGTTGTTTTTTTTTTTTGGTTTGACATTTTAGATTTTTACGGTCTATGCTATAATCTAACCTTTGCTGCTATTATGGAGAACAGAAAGACATGACAGTAGATACACCAGATGTGCTGAGTGCTGACCAACATATGTATTTTTATGTCTGACCAAATGACACACAACGTATATTCAAAGAAGTGTGTCAAACGGCTTATTTATATTTTGATATAGTTGAACTTGGAAAACCAACTACTCGTTTCATAAACACAGTGTAATCCTCTTCAGCCGGTGTTATGGTCAATAACCATTATAAATGTATTATTAGTTTTCTCATTTATGTTGACCAGTTTAAAACAAGAGTACCTACGCGCAAACATACAAAGATCTTAGGGAGGAAAAGTAAACGATTAACGATTATTTATTGTTTTAATTCCTAATAGATTAACAAGTATATAGAATTATTATGGTTTTATTTGTTTTTTTTATCAAAAATTATAGGATATACTCTTGAAATTAAGTTCTAGCTGTAAAAACTGTTTAATTTTAACGCTTATTTTAATTTTTTGTATAAAAAAGCAGCGCTTGGAAAAATGGTTGAAAATTTATGTTATGTTGGATATAAAATAAATGAAGTCGCCCTTTTGTGACATTTTCTAACATTAAATTGTTATTTTTCCTTGATGACTGGTGGTAAAATCTCATACATCACCTGTACATTTATAGTTATGCAACGATTCCCCGTTTCTGACCAAAATAGCCCATTCAAATTTCAATGTCTATGTTTCTGCAAATGATCGACTCGTTTGTTTGGTAACTTATTGAACAAACAACTATGGTCTGCCATTTGCTTTTGATGGCACGTTAAAAAAAACTAAACATGTACGGTCGTAAGAGGAAAATTAAAAAAATCGTTTTGTACTTTGTAGCTTGTTGTCAGATTTCTTAGGTATGCGTTTGGTAGGCAAATGTAAATGTAGGTATAGAGATTTTTCGCGAAGGACCCCGTCGTACGTGCCTTTTCTTTATTTTTTAGCTACTCTAATAACCTATTGACGCTGGTTTTTTATGTGACATAAAATAGTTATTTCAACAGACCGGCACTGTCATAAAACATTCGAGGTATAGTAGTTTTAATTTTTATTTTATGATCCGCTCAGCTACTGAAACGTCGTTTTACGAGGGCCTACTCCCCTTCAGGTATCGCACACCAGGTGTGCTGTTTTTTTTTTAGTTTTTACATCAGTTCATAATATGCTTAATAATAATTATATTTAGGATAATATTGTACTATACACGGCGTCGTTGTCTGTGCGGTATCGATCGGTCCTGGCAAGGATAGTTTTTTAATTAATTGTTTTTTGTTTTACAGGATTTCGAACTGGAACAAAAAATGGAATTCGAAATGAAAATGCGTGAAGGGACTACCCGGCTGTTGGCCGCTTGTAAACATCAAACGCAATCCCTGCAAGCCGCCAAGAGCCTGTTGACGTCCAACGAACGGATGACCGCCTATATAGCCGAATTGCACAAGAAGAGTCGAGAACCTCCTCAGTAAGTTTAGACATCGCCTATAATCTTAAATACTATCATACCGCAATCTCTTAAACATTTTACTACAATTTCAATAATAATAATAGTAGTTTACTTTTAACAATTTGTCTTTAGTTCAAACTGGTATGAAGGATCCGATAGGCCCTAGATCTTAGGTATACCTACCAGGTAGGTCCTATCTGTATTTCAGTTATCGAGATAACTAGAAAATACCTCCAGGAAGTCAAGGACTAAATTTTAAATAATCTATTAGCTAGAAAACACAGTTAAAAAAGCAAATTAGTTTATTTATTTTTTACAAAATAGAAATCGGATCATTTAAATTACACGTAATTTTGTCGGGCTTATAGGTCTAAAGCGTTGCTAAAATAATAATACAATACAGAATGAGCTAAATGAAAGTCAATTTAAAATTACTCGTTATTTATTTGAATTTTTTTAAAAAATACCTAGTTGTGTTTGTTCTTCGGCTGGCCAGCGCTAGACAATTTTTCGACCTAGGCAAACTCCAATTTTGCCTTTTTTCAATTATTAATTTATACAAATTTTCAGTTTGTAAAAAAATTGCCCCTCTATGTTGCCTGCCTATGCCTTGCTGTTTGTACAGAGTAAATTCGACGTACCATTAGTGACAGGTTTTTTTTTTTTTTTACTTTTGGCCCTTTTGCGGAGAGAGTAGTGGCGGGGCAGCCATATATCGTATGGTTCAAGTAAATGATATTTTTTCACGTTTTTATTTAAATTTAACAGAATCGGATGGAACGGCGGTAAAGCTCGGGTGTCTTTGTCTGATCTACGACTGCCTCTGATGTGGCGAGACACGGATCATTTCAAAAACAAAGGGGACTACAGACGGTTTGCCGTGTTCTGCCTGGCCAGAATCGGTACGCAGCTCTACGACACCGGACTCCAGTTTCCGGTGGACAGATCCATGACCGACGTCACGTTCAACGACACGCTTCTGTTGTGAGTTTTATTTTTTGAAAAATTAAGGTAATTGAGTAGTGGGTGGCTAAAGGTGTTGTCGAAACTTTACAGCAGACGGCAACGTTTTAGTCACAATAATATAATAATTGGTTGGAATAATAAAATTCAACCCCATGACACTTCCGTCCCATAGCACTTTTAGAAAAAGCCCTTTGTGTCCGCCACACTCGACCAATTTTATATTAACACCGTTTCTCTAATTATTGGTTTACAGTGAAAACGTCGGACCGGACTTCAAACTGGACTTGGAAGTCTACGCGCACGTGCTGCGGGATGACCTCTCCATAGCCACCACGTCCAGAAAGATTAAAAATACATTACACAGTTCCATCAGCCGTACAGTTGGGAAAAAATTAGCAGCCACTCTCAGAGACGAACTAAACAGCGGCAAAATGTGAGTATCGGACGATGACTGAAATCGTTATTTAGTCGGTTTCTTCTAAAAAGACCTTTCGATTGGAAAAAAATATCACCAATAAAACACCCTTTTTGAGGGACATTAAAAATGATAAGGTAAACGAAACATAAAATGCGAGCGAAAAATCAAAATAATAAGCAAGCCGCACGGTCTAGTGGTGTATTCAGAATCGGCACCGTAGAATCTAGATGACTGTATTATATCATCACCGCCAAAGAAATATATTAATTATGTGGTTATCAAATAATTTGTTGAATTGAATAATTCATTATTTAATATCATACTTTATTGGATGAACTAAAAAAAAAACTTTTGAAATTTTAAAAATTAAGCATGTGTACATTTTTGACGAGATATTGATTTTCTTTTTATTACAGATTTTCATGCTCTTTCATAAAATACTAAAATCCAATGGATCAATCCAAATTTTGTTTTCTATCTCAGTTTTCAAAAGTATTAATCTAAAAAAAAAAAGGCGTTTAAATTACAAATGAATAGTACATTTTGTGTATCCTTCACGGATGTGAAGTTTACAGTTTTAAGTAATTTTCAGTATGTATGGTATTTTTAAATTAATGATTAATTTTTTTCAGTGGACCCAGTTTTGAACTAATGGCGTCGGCCAAATTGACTTTAGAAGAAGTTGATGACAGAGTACATACGCACGACATGAACATAGAAAATACACGTGAGTACTAGTGTGTTAAATTTTAATCTATTTAATATTATGTTCTGCTGACTTAGCCCAAAAAATTATAGTGCTCTGTATGTGTACAAAAATTAACATTAACATTTCTTCACAGAAAACCGCAGTCATCAATTGCCTCTGTTTGGACATTTTTGTTGTCGTCTGGCCGCTCAACCGCAGTGTATAGTTTCTCCAGTCTATTCAGGCTACGTTAAACTACGAGATAGTTCTGTACCGCTTTGGGCCCGTCTTCAAGGATTTGAAATGTCGTTATGGTCCTCTGCCGAAGAAGCCGATAGTCAGCCACCTCAAAAATCGTATAGAATCGATAAGGTAATATTTTTTGCTAACTTATAGTGTGTACCAAGATTTTAATATATCAAACCTTTTCTCTGCAGAACACCGTTATTAGAGCACTAAAATCAAACAACGAGGTTGAAATATCGAACGAAGTCGAAAAACGAACTCTATCACTAATATTTGCAGCAAACAACGGCGAAGACAAGGGCAATTGGCTTAAACATCTCGTACAACATTCGAAAGAACATTACAAGTAATTCGTACACAGTTATTTTTGCTGTATACAAACTATAATAATATTAATTTTGCTGTCGCAGGTGGAAGAAAGCAGCCGAAAACGTCATGGAAGTCCAACCGTTAGAAAATAATAGACATTCATTTGTTAAACCTGAGCGACAAGGATCTCTTTACGACGAAACTCCTTTATTTGGTAATTAAAAATATTTATTTATTATCTATTTACACTCTATTTACTCTGCCTTAACCATAAAAAAAAAAATGACCTCAAGTTGAGATGATTTTGAAAGTATAAAGTGAAGGTGGCGCAACAACACTTAAACATTCGAGTACTGAAATTGCCATTAAAATAAATTAAATCATATAAAAACAAAAATTGAAGGTATTTAACTTGGTTTTTTTGATATACTTCAAAATATATTTTTAAAGGAATACAAATTTGAAATTCTTAAAATAAAAAAAAACCACCCTAATTAATAAATAGTAATAATAAACATTAAACTTTCAGTTTGAAAATGTAAATGTTATATGATCTTGGACGTCTGAAAAAATATTGGTTTTAAAATTATGTATTTTATTTTTTTTAGAAACAATTGATAAGGATAACCAAAGGCCCAGCGTGCTGGATGTGTTCTCCAACAGAGGTCAAATATCAGCCACTAGTCTTAATTCTTACTCGGGGACAGGATCCCGTGAGTTACGTTCAAACTCATCGTCTTCGTCGTCAACAGTGAGCAGTAGCGGTGGCACTCAGAGGTCACGATCACACTGGCCTTTCTCAAGAAAAACGTGATCCTCCCGAAAGGCTTATATTTGTACGTAGCAGCGGGACATGATGTTAAAAGAATTATTCTTTCTTATTTTATATGTTCCCAACGTGAAGCTTATTTTTTTTTTGCAAAACAATTTTGTACCTGTTAAAAATCATGTGAATAAAATTACGGAATGATAATATTATTAATGTAAATCATCAGCTTATCCTATTACTATTATTATTATTATTATAATTACATTAATTAATAACTTGATAATTTAGGCTCGGCCTTCTCGTCTGTATGACATATTTCTTCTAGACTTTTCAAGACAATCATATAAGAAATTAACGATTGTTAAAGCTTACTATTAGGACTTTTTTTTTTATTTTTTAATTATTATTATTTATGAATATATTATTGAATTGTCAAATGTCATGTTAAAACAGTTACTTGTTGTGTTTTATAAATATTTAATTTCCTACGTAGTCTAATAAAATCATATTTGTCTGTCTACTCATAAGGTGAACCTTAAAACCTAAGATATGTTATAATGAATTTATAATTTGCAAAAAAATGTGTATATTTGCATAAGTATTATTTATACAGTATTGATGAACTGTGACAGTTATTATTACTTATTATTTTTTTTTTGAATTGATAAAGAATTCAATTAAGAGTATGATGTTTAATTTAACAATATAATAGTGTATTATATTATATTTTTGTACGTTTATGAGTGCGGGTAATAAAGTGGTTATTATTATCCTCAAGTCAAAATAGTTATGATTATACTTAGACTATTTTATAGAATATTATTCTATTCAAAAAATAAAATTGAGTTGTGTTAACTCTTTGTGGGGCGGTGGTTAGTAAACTAACCACTTCTGTAATGGTCCCTTAGTCGCGGTAGTTAAAGTAGATATACAATTATATGATTTTCTTTTGGTGTTGGTTAAAAATGATAATCACATCAAATTGTCGACTAAATACACCATTAGAGTATGCGGTTACTTATTATTTTTATTTCTCACTTTTACAGTTGTATCCAATATGCTTTTTTATACTACCATTTTACTGGTTTTAACATTTTTAGCTTGCTCATTAAAAGTATTTTATTGGTGATATTTCCCTTCAAAGTGTTAATAGACGTTTTTACAGAAACCGTCATCAAAGTAAAACTATTAGGCACGGGAAATATACATATTTAAGTACAATTTAAAATATAAATTTAAACCTGGATTGGATTTATTAAAAAAAATATGGTTTTCTGATTCGAACAATTTTTTGTTGTAATCATTAAAAAATAAGTTAAAACCCTCATTTTTTTGACAGGGATTTTTTTTAGAACTTTATTCAAACCATTATTAGGTAATTATTGTCAAACCATACACATGGATACAAATGTTGTTGATATTTTTTAAAATATTTACAAAAGCTAATTAATTTGAAGGTCTTTACAATAAAGTCTAGTTAAATGTAATTTTTATAATTACTAGTTACCATCATTAAATTATGGTAATTGGTATGGATTTAATTAAAACTTCAAATAATATTATTGAAAATAAAAATGTATTTTTAAAAAGATCGTAATTTCTAACTCAGTTTTGTATACGAGCACAAATTTTAAGAACTAAATCTAATAAATTGTTACTTCGAAAAATATTAAAAAAGTAAAATACAAATTTATTTTAATAAAATATTTTAACATAATTTTAATTTTTTTTTTTTTAACAATAATAAGTTGAAATAATTTTTTATATTGTTGATGAACTAAATAAAAATGTGTTTAAAATACGTTTCTATTTAAAAATGATGATTTATTATTTTTCAAATAAAAATTGTCTATATAAGTAAACTTGATTAAAAGTATAATAATATAAACAGTATTTTCTCAAAAACTGTTAAACAAATAAAATGATTAATGTAAGTTAAAGTTTCAACAGTTCTTCCTGTCCGTTAAAAATTAAATCAAGTTTCATAGCTGGAAACTTAGAACCTTCTAAAGATTTAAGACTTAAAAATGTAATTCTTACCTTCCTAGCTGCGGGAAATTCAAAATGACCTTGTCGTCAAGGAATTCCAAGGATATCACAGATGATTGATAAATCTTATCATTGAAAATAACATAAAGATAACAACATTTATTTGGACAATTTTTATTAACCAACATACATTTGTTTTGAGATTTATTACCAACACGTTTATTTGGTTTACATTAAATAAAAAATTTCATATTACGATGTCGGCAATTAAATTTGGCTCTCATCTTAAAGAATTACGGCTACACCTGTGTCAATCGTCGGCTTCCAGCAAAGGAGTCAGGTTCGAAAATGAACAACTCGACTTGAAAAACTTTTCTTAACTATTTAATTATTTTTTTCCAGACAATTTATAGAAAAATATTATGTCCCGATAAAAAAGGCTAATCCCAAATTCCCTATTCTCGTGCGTGAATGTAGCGGAGTAGAACCTAAAGTTTTTGCACGGTTCGGTGAGTAGTCACAATACCAAAATTAGTTTTACCCAGAAGTTTTGATGTATGAAATATTGTGATAAAATTAGGTTATTAATGATAGATTAAAAAAAACTATTGAAATCCTAAGGTTTAACTTTAATATCAATGATAGCATTACTTATAATATACGTTAATGTTTTAGAATTTGGTCGAGAAAAAAGTGAACAACTCTCCGATCAAACAGCAGAAAATGTTCTTAAGAAGATCGAAGGACTAGCAAAAAATTAATATTAAATAACCAAAAAAAAGAAATGTTTTATTGTAAATAATGTAATACATTGTACTCGCGGGTTTAGCTGTTTTAGAATAGAAAATAATAAAACTTAATTGTGTGTAAAAAGTTGTTTTATTAATAATGTTATAAGACTGGAATTAGTGTAAGTAGGAAATTTGTAAACAAATGGAGTAAATGCTAATGCATGTATCATAAGTTTTTTATAACTTAAGAAGACATTTAGAAAACAAATCTATGTGCTAAGAAAATCTTAAGGTTTTTTGCATAAAAATATAGGTCAAATTATGTGGTTAGTAGCTCCAATCTAACCTCGACGTTATTTTAACAAATAATTTAAAAAAATAACTGAAATAATATAATATAAAATTTTATTTTTACTAAACAAATATCTAAATAACAATTTAAACATTTTTTTATTTGGACCGTCAAAAAATGATTTAAATTCATTTTAAATAATAACTAAATAATTTTATATGCAAATAAAAATGGAAAGATACAATAATTTATTAATTGTTAAAATATTAAAATCATTAAATATTTATTAATTTTTTTTATTAAAACAGGTTATTTAAAACAGCAAATAAAAATTAAAATATAATACTTTCAGTTTTATAACGAATAATAAGAATTTTAAATATTTATTATTTTTGATCTATTGTTCATCATTTTTTTATATATAAATAAGCTATTCCTAGCACCCTAGATTTGGGTCTAATAACTTTTTGCTGATTTTTCAAAATATTGGATGTATTCAGATACATATTTTTAAAAATCTAATTATCCTTCTCTTCACACAACTCTTCTCATTTATTTTTTTGATGTGTACCAACGGGATGACAGGGGAATTGATGATGAGGATGAGGGATAGTGATAGGACAGGAGAAGCTGACAGCATAGGAGCAGTGAATGACAAACAACAAGGGGACGCTAAGAAAAGAACAGTGCAGGTAGAACACGCATCGGCATATATAAACTTACAACAGTTGTACGATTCAGATTAAAATATATAATAGTTATAATTACTTAAAAACTAGTTTTATTCATATAGAATAATATATATTAGAAAAACCATCGTAAAATTTAAAAATTGTTCCTAAACGACCATTTAAAATGATTAATAACTGTATTGATGCTTAGACTTTTACAGATACAAAACTTGTTGAATAAATTGGATTCAAATGTTCTTTATATAGCTTATACCTAAAAAAAAAACATTTAGGAAACAGAGTTAATCTGACATGACTAAATGGATTGTTTAAAATAACCGGTACAACCACCTTTGACACTTTAGCATTAGTTTTATACGCTAAAACTTGTTATACGTCTAAGAAACACCTACATGTAATTTGGTTAATAACATAAATTCTATGGCTTGTACAAGTCACTTATTTAAAATTAGGATAAAACGTGGAAATTCCAGCAATAACAATTTTAATATTTTTATCCCTAATCCATTTGGGCTATATGCTTGGTATTTCCAAGGCATATGTTCATTTTGCAGCACATGTTCTTATTGTTCAATTGAGTTAAAATTTGGCATACTCACATTTTTATAGATAATAAAAAAATTTAGGTGCTAGTTTCAAATTCAAAAATTGAAAATTTGAATCACCCTGTTGGGTAGAAATATTCCAACTGTATTCAACCATTTTTTTTTAAGTTATACTTATGCTAACGGTGGAAAACGGTATATTTTAAGTTTTTCTTAGATTTGAGTAAAGTACATTCTTTCAACATTTGACCGACTAATGTCTAAAGTATCTTCACAAGGAAAACTAGCAGACATGTATAAGGAAGGTAATTTTTTTAATTTCCATTAAAAATAGTCGTCAGGCCATTTCAATAGTAATCGTGTTTTCATGAGAAAAAAACTTTATTAAGTACACTTTTTAATGATTTGTGTTTAAGGAAAATATATTTTGTAAATTGAAAATAGGAAATATTACGATAATTTTTTTAAAAAATGCTACACCATTATTTTTAGTTTTAAATACTTAAATACTTCTAAAATTATATTGTATCGACGGATTGCTTTTTTTCTTACAGGATTTGGGAAGCGTTAAGCATACTACTTTTGCTAAAAGGGCAATTTTTTATTTAGTTATTAAACATACATTTTTACTGTCTTATTTAGGTAATAAAAAATGTATAATATTATTATACCAAATCGCCAAAGATAATATTGAATTATAATTCAAGGTAATTAAAAAAAAAAATAAATTATTTTTGTAAAATGAAATGCCAAATTGAAATATTATACTTCTCGATGGTATTACGGATTACCAATGGTATTAGTTATTACCTATTCATTATGCCCATGTGCTATTAGTTTTTTATTTGGCAGTAGTAAATACAACGTTTTTCAAATGCTTAACAAAGCAGTCTTCATAAAAATAAACTAAAATATTTAATTTTGTAGGATAATTATATTTTTATACATTACGGCGCATATATGGTTTGATTAATTCTGAAAAATAATAATGGTTGCAATTATTTATAAATGAAAATTGAAAACTTTAGGTTGACTATCTACTCAAATAATCTAATATACTGTATACATTTAATTTGGTAATTTTCAATTAAACTGTTTAGAATGAATGATGTTATTCGGTCTTGGTTTTAAATGTAATAGACTTCCCGCCATAGAGTATAATTTCACAAGAGTCGTTTAACCTACAGCGCTCAACACTAAAGTGGTGAAATCTCTAAAGGTTTTTTGCTTTTATTAAGCGGTCAACTGATAACAGTGGAGTATAACAGCTGTTGCTGCTTGCCAAATGAACATAGTAACGTTTTTGCATGGCGTGCATTGCCGGTCGATGATTGTGTACATTATTTCGTTGCAATCGAAAATGATATCACTGATCAAATAAAGAAGGAAATCGTATTATTGTTATTAGTCACTTTTTCCTTGTACACAGCTCTTTATCGGTACAACGTTAAACACCGTCTGGAAACTATTAAAAAACTTGTGCCCTTTTCAAATACACTGTACACAGTTGGCGTTTTCTGATCACGGTTCGATTAGAGATGGAAGTACCCGAAAAATGAACGTTGACCGACAATACATTTAATGAAGTGTTGACGCATAATAAAATGTGTTTTCTGGTTTTTAACAAATTGACAAAGTTACTTAAATGAAACGAGTAAGTGCCGTGTGGATCCTTTACATATGTAGTAATGACATCGATCGACTATACTGCCGTTGTTTCCAGGTGAAAAAGAGTTTGCAGACAGAAAGTATACCCTTATTGTTGAGTCAAGCGGAGAGGCAGTTCGATGGTGATGATTCCGATTGCTTCTTGTCCGGTGATGACATGACGCCGTTTAAAAAACATAATATTTACTACAAGAGCAGATGGTCCAGGGTGTCTTCGTTACTGTTTTGTGGGTAAGTGCTGAAAGTCGACTATCGATTGGCCTTTTACAATACGGCAAAAGTTTTTCACAGTGTGTTTTCTTTAGCTTGATGTTTGACAACAATAAATTGACTAACCAGTTTCGGCGGGCAATTGATTTTTTATTTTTTTAAATATTAGTATTGTGTAGACATCTTAGCTTTAAATAAAGAATTAGCAATTTACCTGATGAAAAAAAACCTACCCAGTTGTACAAGTACATATTATTAACCCAGAAAAGTCCTTGTTTTTCAGTAAATCCTTAACATTTGCTAGGTTTGGGTTTATTTTGCCAACTCTGTTTAAAAAAAGATTATACCTAGGTATTTCAATTTTTACTTATGATACAAAATTGTAGTGGAACATGCATTAGACTTTAGAGTGTAGATGGGTGTCAGTTAACCGTTTCCTAACTATTTGGGCACATTTATATACCTACAAAAGAGTGATTATGCTTTTCAAAAAAAAAGAATGGTAATGCCTTATCAAAAATCTCTATGTACCATGGCTCGGTTAGATAATAATATTAAAAATAGTTTATCGTATTTGTTGTCTTGTTAAAAACAAGTTTTTTATTCTTATCATTCTATTAATATAAAATCAGAAATTGTATAACTTTGTTTACTAATAGTATAAAGTATAATATTTAATGTTGCGGTGTGTTAAAAAAATATTAGTTACCATCATCAGTTTAGCTAATGCCTAATAGCACACAATTTTACAGATAATACGCTAATAAATGAATGACATTTTATTTCATTATGTTATAAGCCATAGAGGTATGGTCGTTTTAGTAGCTTTTCAGTTTAAATGTTTTAAGATGTAATAGATCTGTAATTTATTGTGTTAAGATGATGCTACACATCCCATTTCTAAGGAGTAAAGTATAGGTAATTTTTCGCGAAATTTGAATTTAGTGCTTGATTTATAGTGTATACTGTTTACTACTCGCTTATTAATAGAGTAATTATTAGTATACTTTGTTGTTTGTCATTATTTTTGTTAGACTCGGTCATTTCTACAGGATTTAACCAATTTTTTTCCCATCAAAACTGCTTTGTGCTGGACAAGTATGTGAGGCCAGTAGATTAACCAAATTTACAACATGTGTAGAAAAAAACTTTATTTATGCCGTAGCAATTTTTTTTTTTAATATCTTTTTATACACATAAAAATTATTGTATGTAGTATTTTAAGTTATCAAAAATTAAAAACGCTACGGCTTAGATAGTTCTTTTCCATATTCTTTATTGTAAATATGTTATACGGTTACTGGTTATTGTGTATACTACCTTACATACACATACTTGTCTCCCACAAAACAATTTTTAGCGGATATATCAACGGGTGTTGCTATAATGCTGAAGAAGTAAAGAAGTTTCGACTACTGGCAACTAGTTTTTTATTATTTTTTCTTTTCAATTTGTTTTTATAGTAGTTAGAACTATTAGTTATGATGGTTACGTGTTTACGAGGAGATTTAAACTTTAGACAACATATTTTTATTGACATCGAATTTGTTATTTTTATGGCTTCTGTGCTGCAGTTGTAGTTCGATGTCTAAGTGACAACGGACGTCCAAGTCGATTGATTTTTTGTTTCCGTTTGAACTTTTACGAATAACAAAATACTGTTTTAATAACGACCTTAGAAGATAATCTTCTTAGGCCGAGGTATTGACATGGACCTATTATTGGTCTAGTAGTATAAATTTAGGTCTGCGGGCAAAAAGAAGAGCCGTTATCAGCCGTGTCTTTTCATGGAAAAAACTGTCATCGGTCATATCGCGTTTCTTCGCCATGAAGTGAACCTTGACCTTAATCACGGACGTGTGATATCGAACCCTCGTAGTCACATATATATAATATATATTACTATACTATAGTTTATTATCTATATCAATGGATTGTGCACATGACGAAAATAGGATAGGTATGCCGGCAACACGGGATAACCTTCAAAATGGCTACGCGCATTCATTGTTACGGGAGAACGACGCCATTTTGTTAATATTGATAACACGAGTTGCCGACATACCAGTTCGGTTTGTCGACGTAACATACCCCCGTACCGCGCGTTAACAGTCTCGCTCGGTGCTGCCGTTTGAATGGTCCTCTACGCCTCGTATATTTATGCACTGTTACTATATTACTCAATTCTCCGTATAACGTTGTATAGTGGGTTATTATCTCCTGTACAGGCTGTTTCTTTTTTTTTTTTTTGGCTGGATCGTTCGTAACCCGTTGCCTTTGTGTGTCCGGTGTTGCGACTTGCGCTGTTCACGAATACAATCTCCGTTCGCTGTTATTGCGCGTAATATTCCGATTGTTGAAAAAAAAAACGGGTGTTGTGTGCTACAAAGTTGGCCAACGGATCAACGACGACTTGTTGATTCACGTCGTAATTGGATTGCTGTTTTGTTTTAAATAATTGTTTTCGCTATTGTGGTGCGATGTTAACGATTTGGCGCGTTCGCCGCATAATGTGATTGATTTATGGATTCGCCCGCTGGTGCAGGTGTCTGTTTGGTGGAAATGCACTCATCCTCGTCCACGACTACGCTGACCGTCAAAGAGGACATTCCGCTTTTGACCAAGCCTCGGGAAAAAAATAACGTTTTTAACAGGTCAGCAAAACAAACAGATTTAAATGTGTGCGGTTCGCCAGACGCCTCCGCCTATCTCGTCCTCTCCCAGCCCTGGCCACCTCTCGACCCATATGGACTTCATATCACCATTATAATAATATATAGGTCAAACATGCAATCGAACATGTGGGCGCAAGTCTCACCATGAAATCACTGACGGTCCTCATTAGGTACAGAGTTGGTAAAATAGAACCATGGCCCAGTGGGTTGTTTGTGCTCGAGCCTAGCATATTTACTAAAAAATATAGCGTTTTTGGATTGCTGCTTACCCAAAATCACTTATCGAGGTCGGATTTTTATTGTAAAATTTGGATAACTGCTAACTTAGAATGATCAAACAATCATTCTTTCATTTTATTGACTTTTAGTGCCTTGATGCTGAGCTAGCTCTATTTAACAATAACTATACTTCATCCCAACTTGGACTATACAGGATTATTTTTTTATTTAGTTTTACAAAATATCTAGTACCTGTTTACCCAAAAATATAGGTTTTTATTTATTAACACATACTCAAAAAACATGTGGGTTGGGCATTATTTCCCAAGTGCTCGCATACACACTATTAACACTGCGACTTGGTACTTTTTAAGTGCAGAAATAACATGGTGGTGTTAAGACCGCAGAACAAGATTTTTTAAAAACAGACTTCTTGGAGGTTAAAAAAAATTGAATATTACCAACTCTGTTTCATACGTTACTTTTGTCCCCCTCAGTCTAACCACGCTGTAAGAACTTAGTGGATAATTTTATAAGTGGTTAAGCGATAATTCATGCTTTTACGGGATTTGTTTCTTATTTCTGTTGTATTATAAGAGCATGAGTAGTCACCGCGGTATGGATAACTTTTTTTGCATATTCTAACCAGAAATCTGATTCTAATGTTATAATGAATTTTGTTTTTAGTAACTGAAACATTTTGATAACCCAAAAAACTTTTCATTATAACGTTTTAACATGCAACCTTAATTAAATATACATAGATGGTCCATGGATGAAACTCCAATTATTTAGGTTAACAACCAAAAGAGTGTATGGCGTGTTCTTCTTATCTATGTATATTTAATATTTATGTTCTAACGCTGTGGTTTAATCTGGAAAGAGCTAACAAATATGCCTATTATTATATTAGTTTTTGAAAACTACAAAATATAAGTACCTAAAGTAAGCATCATAGCTGAAACTTCTAGTTTGGTCGATTTCATCAGTATGTGAAACTGGAGAAGCGGGCGGGAATTTTATAGAACAATAGCAGCTACCAACTGATTATGTAACCCAAACATTATGTTTAGTATTTCAATGGTATTAGTAATGTTATCATCAAATTAATATTTGATATGTCAGGTATATTACTCATAGCAATTAATCATTCAAAGTGTCTAATCAAATATTATAATGGTTTACTAGTTACCGACCGAGCTAAATTGTCTATAAATCTTCTTTAATTCCAAAATATACAATATAATATAATACATACAGCACTAGTAAAATTTAACAAGTTGGTAGATCTAAGGATAATATAAAAAAATTGCAAATATTTTAACTTTTAAAGCAATATTGAAGAAAACAAACCTAAATTAAATTATTTTTTAAGTAAATGAGTTTATTGCCTTACAACATATAATTTGGTCAATATATATTTGTTTAGCTATCACACAAAGCCTACGAGCAAACCAAGAAGGTACTTTTTACTAGTAAATTTGTGCTTTTATTGAAATTAGCCAATTTGGATGTGCTGATATCGTATTTAAATATTGATATTAATTTCTTATTATTTTGAAACATCCTTATTATGTGCCTAAACAGAGCTGGTAAAACAAACAGGGGGTTTATTATTCTTTTGTTTAAGTCTAGCAAATGTTTATGTTTACCCAAAAATATGGGTTTTAATGTTTATATCCAATTTAAAACCTACCAAGTAAGACTTTTAAAAAAAAATCTGGGTTTTTGCCATCTCTGCCTAAAAGTTCAATAAAATTATTTCATAGGTCATATTTTTATAATTTTAGATAGAAGAATTACACATTCCTTTGTAGCTTTTCTTTTGTACTTTCCCATTTTGGTATTTTATTTTTTTAATTTTATCTTTAATAACCGTTCTCACCATTTAAGTTTTAATAATAAGTATAATTTTAATATCGGAAAACTATACTTCATTTTTTAGCTAAACTAGTGAGATTGATCTCTAGTGTTTTTGCAAGGTTTGTCGCATGTTTCTCGCATCATCAAATAAGATTAAAGTACCCGATGGCATGACAAACAATTATCCTCTGTTTTATCGAGTTATAGATTTTTAAAATTGGCATTCATGTATTATTTAAAAAAATATATTAGTAGGTTCTACTTATTTTTTAAATCATTAAAATACAAAATAAAAAAATTCCTTTACAGTTTCTAATAAAATATTTAAACTTTAATTTACTAATGTTAAATCATAATTACACTTAAAGATTATTAAATTATACAATTAATGATTATATTTGAATGTGTATAAAGTCTTGTTATATTTAGTAGGTTTGGATAGCTATTGAGGCCACATTTTGGGTGATATTATTTCAATTTAATATAATGTGTAAATAGTAATTATGATTATAAAATATATAACATAAAATGTTTTTGTAAAACAAATATAATAAAAGCTTTGTATTGTTCTTTGGTTCTACAATGAATGACAATAATTATTAGTTGTCGTTTTGTCATTCCAAAATGGTTATAAATTTAGTAGTAGATAGCGGTCAGTAAGTTTGTCGTATTTCATGGAGCTGGTGTCCTATTTATTTCAGATTGTGACACATTCTCCTGCCTGTTTAAATTTTTACAGTCATGACAGAAGAGAAAAAAAGTAAATTAAGGTAGGACCCCAATTTAGTATTTTTACTAATATAATAATATTACGGCCTGATTGTAATCAATAAAAAGTCTGATATGAGACAATATCCGACTGGGCTAACACAAAAAAAGATTTAAAAAAAAAAAAAGGGTGAGCATATCATGATTTTTTATTAGTTAGGTATTTAAATTATAGGCAACAAATTACATTAACATTTTTTTTTTTTCGTTAAATTATTTAAACAGCTATGTACATAAAAACGTTGCACTTTTATGATTTTTATAAAAATTGTATGTGCAAAAGACCTTTTTTACATTAATTAAAAACAAACATTTCACACAAATTGTTTCAAAAAATGAACTGGTTCAAATTAATTTATTTCACATTTTTAGTTACTCTCGTGACTCGTTGTTATTAGTGAGCCTCGCCCTAATTTTAACAGGAACAGATTACAGCGACACACACCAGTTCAGCAAAATACTAATATTGGGTAGAGATCACCTTGCAAAATTTTGCTGTAACTTGTTCATGTTGCAGTTTGGCTCACTAGTGTGAACGACGCTTCATACTAATGTCATCATACTATGTCTCACCCTTTTCATATTTTCGGTCACTAATCATCAAGGTTTGGAAATCCTAACCTTAGGGCTTACTAATCAATATATAACACACGCTAACATTTTTTTTAAATACAATCTGCTATCTACTGTGCAATAACCTTTTACGGTCCAAAAAGGTAATAAAATCACAACTTCGCACTTTAACCTGTTCAAGACATGTACAAAGTTGGACCGAAAAGGGTTCATATTAATTTCAAATTTATCAATAACGGTAACTTAAAAAGAATATATATGTATATATCTTTTTATTTTTTCGTTTTTGTCAGACCTTTTAGCTGTAAAAAAGTTTGTAATGGAATATGGTGATTTGTTAAAAAAAAATAGAGGACCCAGCTTGATCTTAATGCAATTATAGCTTTATATTATTATTAGTTAATGCTTTTTTTTATTTGTAGCTTGCATGAGTAATTAGTACATATTATTATTCATTGTTTGACTTTTTTGCTTTTGTGTTTTAACAGAGTAGTTAACAAATAAGTTAATCAATGATTAAAATAAAACAATATGTTTGTAATTTTAAGTCGGAACTAAAAAAAATATATCTTTTGTATATTTGTTAGCATTTTTTTTTCTTTTTTTACAAATTCAATTTTACTTTTTCATACAGGTATACAAAATTAAAATCAAATTTTTTTTTAATTACTTTGATAAATGTATTGGTTTCTCCTTTTTTACTATTATCATCATCAAAAGTGTAGCAAAAATGGGTCTTTTATTTTAAGGGATGGCTGTTTAAATTTGTTTAATTTAAAATTTATAATGATTTTAATGATACAAATCAATATATTAGGATTTCTAAGTATTGTTAAAAACAAAAATTGTGTTTGTAACGCTTAAAATTTGTTTTTTAAAATACGATTTTTAATAGATTTTGTCAATGGATCTGGCAAAAATGTTTCCGCAAAAAAGAACTCTCGTCGAGAACCATTGTGATTGGGAAACAGAGTATAGAAAAATACTCTCCGAACGTTATTCGAAATCAGAAATACACCATAATCACGTTCCTCCCAAAGGTAAAAGAAACAAATAAATGTTTTTCTAACTACATCATTGTATAATTTGTTTTCAAATTATTTTTCAGGTGCTTTACCAACAGTTCAAGTTCTTTTTAAATCTCTATTTCCTTTTGATGGCTATGAGTCAGTTTGTTCCTGAGCTACGGTTAGGATATTTATACACATATTGGGGACCATTGGTAAACTATACAATGATAAAAATAAATAATTATTACTTATTACTATTATCACATTCATAAAATATAATATTGTTTTTAAGTAATAACTATGGCTGGTATTTTTATAGATTTTTGTTTTGGCTGTCACATTGTTTCGCGAAGGAATTGATGACATTCGGCGATGGCAAAGGGATGAAGAAGTCAATTCTCAGAAGTACAAACGTCTCATACGTGGTAAAGACCATAATATCGGTACAGAATACGTGTCGTCTTCTAAACTCAAAGTGGGAGACCTGGTAGATCATTATTTTTCTATTGAATTAAGGGGGGAAATAATTAAACAGAATTCTAAATAGAGTTTTTATAATTTATTTTATTTAGGTGCTAGTCGAAAAAGATCAAAGGGTTCCGGCCGACATGGTGCTATTGAGGACCACTGAAAGATCTGGTGCTTGTTTTGTGCGAACTGATCAAATGGATGGCGAGACCGATTGGAAATTACGTCTCGCGATTGGAGACACTCAGAAATTGGACTGCGAAGCTCGTCTATTTGATATCACAGCCACGATATTTGCCGAAAAACCACAAAGGGATATTCATAGTTTTATCGGAACATTCCGAAGGGTAAATGTGAATTAACAAATTGATCTTAAATATTGAATAATACTAAACTTGCTTTTTTGGTTTTTTTTTTTTACAGCAAGACAATGGTGAAGAAGTTAGCCTTGATGTAGAAAATACGCTGTGGGCCAACTGTGTTGTTGCCAATGGTTCGGCTCTTGGCGCTGTCGTCTACACTGGTGCTGAAACTAGATCAGTTATGAATAATTCACAGCCCCGAAGTAAAGTTGGTCTGCTAGATATCGAAATCAATCAATTGACAAAAGTAAGACTGCCGTTAATAAAATTACATATAGTTAATATGATCTTTATTAATGTTCTCTTGATTTACAGCTGTTATTTTGCGCTGTGGTCGGTCTGGCATTTGTAATGATGTGCTTAAAAGGTTTCAATGGTCCATGGTACCGTTATATGTTTAGATTCGTTTTACTTTTCTCGTACATCATACCAATCAGGTAAGAAATTTAGGTTCAGTTATTGGCATAGTTGTAAGGGTGTATACTATGTGTGTACAAATATGCTACTGGTCATTATTGAATACATCTTATCTGTTGTATTTATTATTTATGTTTTAGTTTGAGAGTAAATTTAGACATGGGTAAAGCCTTTTACTCGTGGTCGATGCAAAGAGATGAAGAAATGCCAGACACTGTCGTAAGATGTACTACCATACCTGAAGAGCTCGGACGAATATCGTATTTGTTCTCGGACAAGACTGGAACATTAACACAAAACTCGATGGTCTTCAAAAGGTTACATCTAGGAACTGTGTCTTATGGAGCAGAGTCCTTCGACCAAGTAAAAAAATTATCAGGTTTTTATTTTTAGCGTTTTATTTATTGTTTTAATTATTTCAGGTTTCCGAACAATTGAAAATGACATTTTGTGGAGCAGTCGAGCCAACTCACAATAGAAATTTATCTCAAGGCTCCACGTCATTCAAGATCAGACGTTCCGAGCAATCTCGACTCCACGACGCTGTTAAAGCTATCGCTTTGTGTCACAATGTCACGCCTGTTATAGAAAACAACGTTCAAGGAAATATGTAATTAAGAGCTCATATTATATAATTAATCGAATAAATGAAAGTACTAAAATACGATATAATAACTAATATTCTTTGTTCATTATCGTCGTTACAGTACTGATAGTCCAGTTGAACTCCGTTCAGAAGCCGATCAGCATTACATAAAAGAAGGTCTTCTGTCTCGTTCACAGTGCACTTACCAAGCTTCGAGTCCTGACGAAGTAAGAAAATAATGTTTTTAAAAAAATTGTATACTTTACAATGATACCAATGAAGTGATTGATCATTTTAGATTGCATTAGTCAAGTGGACAGAAGACGTAGGATTGGCTGTAATTAAAAGGGATTTGACGTCTCTCAAATTAAGAACATCTACTGGAGATATACTAAACTATACTATACTCCAAATGTTTCCGTTTACGTCTGAAACTAAGCGCATGGGAATAATTGTTAAAGACACCTCATCGGGTGAAATTACATTTTATCTGAAAGGAGCTGATGTGGTTATGTCATCCATTGTGCAATACACAGACTGGCTTGAAGAAGAATGCGGCAATATGGCACGAGAAGGCCTACGCACGTTGGTAGTGGCTAGAAAAAATCTTACAGAAGAACAATATTTAGAGTTTGAAGTATGTAGACTTGTTTGTAAAAAGGGTTTGGACAAATTTTGAGTGCTTCAACATTACTCTGTAGACTGCAAATAAAAAAAATTGTCATTTAATCAAAGTTAATTCAAAGCACCTAATTTTCTTATTTAAATAAATAAATTTACTCATACACTCATTATGGGCTATTTTTTGACTGCTCAAGTTAAATTATATTTAAAAACTGCTAACCACGGGAAGCTGTTGCATATAATAGTAAGAATATTTGTTAGATTTCAAAACATTTTTCAATAAGTAATCAACTAGTTTAAACTAAAAACGTATGGTAACAGAAAGTATTTCCTGTTTGACAAAGTCAAGTTTTTTGAAAAGTACTTTAACTGCACAAAAATGTTTTACGGTTTTTATTCGATAAAATAATTGTTAGATTATTAGATTGTTAGATTTTAAAATAAAAAACATTTGATAAAATATTTCTTTATAGTTTACATCATTTAAACAACAAAAATAGAAATAAAATCATCAAATGTTACAGCCAAACATTTGTATTTTTAACAAAATTTTGAAAATGATAAAAATACTTTAAACTATAAAGAAAAAAAGAAAGAAATTTATTATATTGTAATTTATTATTTATTTTTCCTTAGTAATGTTAGATTTGTATATATTTTTTATTATTATTTATGGTCGGTTGAAGTGATGAGAATTCGTCCAAACCTTATTCTTAAAAACTTGACAGTTGTATTATTACTTATTAAAGTATAACAATAAATAATGTATTTATATTTCTGCTTCAGTCACGGTTGAATTCAGCAAGGTTGGCCGTAACTGGACGCGCTCAGCGAGTGGGAAATGTGGTGGACACCTTAGAACGTGAAATGGAATTGTTGTGCGTCACTGGTGTTGAAGATAAACTTCAAGTTGACGTGCGAAGGACATTAGAGCTGTTAGGAAATGCTGGAATCAAAGTAATAAATTTTACTTTTTTAATAATTGTTAAGTAATTTATGTAATCGTTTTTTCTTAAAGATATGGATGTTGACTGGTGACAAACAAGAAACAGCAACATGTATTGCGAAAAGCTCTCGCCTTGTTTCACGAACACAAGAACTGTTCATCTTTGCTCCAGTTCATACCAGAACTGAGGCCCATCAACAACTAAACGCTTTTAGGAAAAAACAAGATTGCGCTCTGGTCATTACCGGCGATTCTCTTGAGGTAGGTTGTTAAGAAATGTCTGTTTACTTAAATTAATTAATTTTTTTTTTCCTTATTTAGATTTGTCTCCAATATTATCAAACCGAATTGCTGGATGTAGCGTGCCGTAGTCCGGCTGTTATATGCTGTAGATGTTCACCAACGCAAAAAGCGCAAATTGTCACCCTTATCAAAGCACATACAGGAAAAAGGACTGCTGCCGTTGGTGACGGAGGAAACGACGTGTCAATGATCCAGGCCGCTGACACTGGAATTGGTATTGCTGGCGTCGAAGGTCGACAAGCCTCACTAGCTGCAGATTTCTCGGTCCCTCAGTTTTCACACTTGGCACGGTTACTTATGGTGCACGGACGATACAGCTACAAACGATCAGCCTCGCTCAGTCAATTTGTCATACACAGAGGTCTCATTATATCTACTATGCAAGCAATATTCTCCGCCGTATTTTACTTCTCGTCGGTCACTTTATACCAAGGATTTCTCATGATAGGGTAATAGACTTCATGTCGATGATTACTATTTGGAATTATAATTTTATAAATTATTATTGATGATTGCGTATTAATAATATTTTGACAACATTTTTAAAGCATTAATCCAAATTGACCAAAAAAGAAGGTTGAAAATGTTTATAATTTGTTCTATTATAATTTAGGTATGCAACAATATATACAATGTTTCCTGTGTTTTCATTGGTACTCGACAAAGATGTTTTAGCGAAAATAGCTCTGACCTACCCCGAACTCTACAAAGAGCTTAGCAAAGGACGATCATTGTCATATAAAACGTTTTTCATTTGGGTTCTGATCAGCATTTATCAAGGTATTTTTCTTCTATAGTTGTTTTATATGGTCATAAATAATTGACATCTCGTGATTTGATTCCAGGCGGTGTTATTATGTATGGAGCATTGTTTTTGTTCGAAGATGAATTCATCCATATTGTCGCCATTAGTTTCACGGCGTTGATTTTAACGGAATTAATTATGGTCGCTTTGACTGTTCGGACGTGGCATTACTTGATGTTGTTGGCCGAGTTATTTAGCTTAGCTATTTACATATTGTCCTTAATATTACTCAAAGACTATTTCGGTAAGTAAAACAAATATGTTTCAACATTTCAGTTAATAACGTACAGTATAAAAATATGGTTTGTGTTTTTTTTTTTCTAGATTCTAATTTCATTCAAACTGAATCGTTCCTTTGGAAGGTCACCGTAATTACATTGGTCAGCTGTCTGCCGTTATACATACTGAAATTCTTGAGGAAAAAGTTTTCTCCTCCTAGTTATTCCAAGTTGTCATAGACTGTACCGCTTCAAACGATAAAAGGTATTTAAGAGACTGTATTAGACATAGAAAAAAAATATATCATGGACAATTAGTTTGCATTTGCACTGTAATAAGAAGTATGACCAATTAATAATTATTTACGAATAATACCTAATAAAAAATGTCTCCTACTATTTCAGGCATTTCATCAATTAAAGAGCACAACTGATACTAATTATACTAAGTACAATATTAGAAGATAATAAAAATATATTATATTTTAATCGTAATACTAAATATTTATATTTTTTAATTATTAAGATAAAAGAAAAAAAAAACTATCAATTTAATTATAATTATTATGTTTTTTTTTATTATCTGATTGCGTTTTCTTAATTACGATTCCTCTATTTTTTATTTGTTAATATTTTTGTTGTAATTTTGTGTTTTGCTTAGTTTTTGTTAATGTTAAAAAACCTATTCTGTGATTCATAATTAATTAAAAATTTGTTATCCCAACTCCTATTTCACTACTGAACATTACTCAATTACGTACATTTTTAAGTTATAATCAAATCATCAAAAGGCATTATTTATATGCCCTTATTTCATTCAGAGTAGGATTATGTTTAACGTGGTTATACTTAATAGAAGACTCTAAACTAACACATTTGTGTATTTAAATGAATTATTTCTCTTTTTAATATGTTTTAGAATTAGCGTAAAGACTGTAAACACAGAGTTTGTTAAATGGTAATAATAATATACTAAAAAATTTGGACCTAAAAAGCAAACATTAATGCTCAACTCGAAACTAAATTTTAAGAACTATTTTTATTACAAAAAGGATATTATATTGCAATGTATCACCAATAGTATATTTAAATTTATTTTATCCGAATTTGAATGATTTAATAAATTAACTCGTTTTTAAGTTGTTATAAAATCGAAATTGTCACCAGTACTTATATATTATTTATAAATTTAAGTTTTGAGAAGGAAAAACAGTCTATAACAGCTGCATACAAATAAATGCTTATTTTACATGATTAATAATTTTTTAGCACGATAAACTTAATAAAAATTAGTATAAAAAAAAAATCCATGACAATTGATGTATTTAGTCATTATTCTGTTGTACGAAATCTGTTTCTTCGATAAGTTTTCCATTATAATTCAACAATCATATTCACAACCAGTAGTATAGCCATAAAAAAGTGAGTATCGTGTGTACTCACTTGCCATTTTACTATAACATGTTAACTCGTGACAAAAAATGGCAGTTAGTAAACACAGTGTATGCCTTAGACTACACTTATTCACGACTAAATTGTTAAATGTATACAAAAATTTACATTGACACTTAAATTTTTTTTTATTATTTTCTCTTGACAGATGTTGGTTGTGTTTATGCGTTATATTATTTATTTTTTTCTAGTTCTCATTATCGCATTGATTTTTTTCTAAGAATGATAAAATTAAGAATGTTTTGTTACCCACCCTATATACATATATTTATATTTATTGCGTGATGACCTTAAGTATATAATAAATTGTAATTACACTATGTGATATAAATTAATAATGTTTCGATATAATTAAATTTATTAATTGGTATAATAAAGATAAAAATCGCACTATCATAAAATATTATTGTGTAATTAAATTATTATTTAATATAATTATTCTGTAAATAGTTGTTGTGTTAACAGACGCATGTGCTAATGGATTATATGTATGTATATATTTAAAATATACTTAAATGTATTTAATAAGACGATTGATGTTTATTTGTTTAATATTTATAATATATATTTAAAAAAAAAAAAAAAAAAAAGAGTAGCGTTTAATTAAACTATGTAATACATTATAAAAAATAAATAAACGAAAATCACACATGTGTATATTTTTCGACAATATAAATTTATACTTGTTAAATGTTTACACATAGTCTATTAATGGTATATATTTTTTTCTTTTGCGGATTACAAATGTATTATTATTACTATAAAATATTGTTGCTTAAATTTAAAACTGTTATGATTTGAATACTTCGATTGTTCGAGTTCAATTATAAGAAACTCAAATATACTTGGTACTTTTTATTTTATTCTACCTGCGTAAAGTATTCAACACTTGTATTTGTTTAGAAGGTCTGACAAAACATTCCTTTTTCTTATTGGGCATACGACTAAAATTTTCAATGCATATTTTATTATTCCTAGAAAAAAATATTGCTTTTTACATTGACCCCATTAATTTACAATTACCCTACGATCGACGACTAACCTTAAGTACCTAAAAACTAATTGTTTTAGCTTCGATGCAAATATAAGAAGGTATTATTAGCAAAGATGTGCTTTTTCTTTTTGCACTTAAGATATTTCTTTAACCGCTCAATATTGAGCATCTTTCTTCGTTTAGATTTAAATCTATAGATCAGAAATCGTAGCTAAAATATACTTTATTGAGCTAAAAATTATAAGATTCAGCAGTTTACACATTTTTAACCTTAAAATTACAACAACCTGTGACTTTTTAAATATAGTTTGATAACTGCCAAACTTGTGTGAGATTTTTTTTAGAAGGGGTGGATACTTTCTTTATTTTGATTTTTCGACCGTAGTTTTGGGACTAGGTTTTAAAATGACGATATATGTAGATCATCACTTATTTATCAAATTAATTAATAAAACGAAATTATGGGTACCAAAATTGTAGAAGTGACATTTGTTATAAAATGTATATTGAGAAGATTTATTAAAATGTTTATTTGTCTTATAATCATTTTTCATTGCTTATTGAAAAAAATATTGAAGAGGAAAACTTATAAATCTCATCTAAAACCTGAGAAATTTGTGTTACTTAAATAAATAATAATTTGAAAATAACAAGTTATTTAAAATTATTTTTTATTTATAACTTAATTATAATATAAAAGCTTTATAAATAAATTTGTATGTGACTTTATCAAATAACCTATTTTAAAATATACTTCTTTAAAATTTTATTTAACTGTAGTAGGTATAACTAAAATGAAAATATATTTAAACAATTTTTATTTGTTCAAATAAACATTTATTTAAAACTATTATTGCTTTAAATGAAACTTTTTTTCTTTTATTCGAGTGATTATTTGGTCATATTTTTAGTTTTAGTAATAATTATTTAAGCTATTCTTTTTATTATTTCCATTTTAATTAAATACAAAATTAATTAAGAAAATTGAAATTAATGTTTTATTTGTTTGAATAGAAATTTTTTCGAACTATTATTTGAATTTTTATTTAATTAAAAAAGTATTTAAATTATTCCCAGGTTGGACTAAGCTCATAAGAAAACATTGAAAATATATTATTTTTGCTCTTGTAAAAAATCACCTATAAGTTTTTCCCTTTTGTTTACTTTCATTTTGATTGCCAATTAATTTTTTTTTTTGTAGATAAAGAATATATATTATGAAATATTTCTAACTGTAATTAAATCATTCTTGTTTTTAAGTTTTAAAAAAAATCAAGTATGTGCCCTTCATACAGTTCTTAAGGAAATATGATTTCGAAGGGGGGGGGATTGACCTATTTTAATACCCGGTAAACGTGTGAATCTTAACGTAGGCCGCGCATCGTTTACACAAAATGTACATGAATAAGTTAGATAGGTAGTAAATAATATTAATGATAGATAACAGTGATAAGTGTTAATTTTTTTTTTTTTTGGTAACTGGAATAACTTGTCCAACTCACGTGTACAGCTCGAATGACGCACGACTTGTTCCGAATAACATTGAAATTTGAAATAGAAAACAGTCAAATATTTAATAATAGTTGAAATAAACATTTACCCGTATCTTGGTATTAATTAAATTGCGCTAACGACGCATTATATACTTTAACGATAGTTATGGAATGTCTTTTTCGAATAAGTACCTATTGAAAAAAATAACACCGATTACGAAATCGTTGAATAATTGTGAACGCTCAACCAATGTAAATCTTTTAAATTGTACAATTGCGTTGTAGCTGTAATGTAAGCATTATCCACTATAAGTTATAACTTATAACCATGGTTACCTTGCTTCGTGTATGGGTTACCTTAGAGATCATTAAGTAATACAATGTCTGAAGTTGAGACTCTGAAGTCTGAACATACTATAATATACTTGTAGACCCAACTGGCAGCGATCCAAGTGAAATTATTATTATTTATGCACATTTCATGTTTTGCTTTACAAATAACGATTTCTCGGCGCAGTAGTTAAACAGGAAAAGACTTAAAGCTCAAAAAGAATATTTCAACTTGTTATTGGCACATTAACGTGTTATAACATGATTTAATTCAATGCTATACTTTGTTCAGAACAACACACGGGAGCCCAATTTTAATAGGAAAAAAATACTGCAACATTAAGTACGCCACCTATGATAACTACATACAAAAGTATAAATCTATATCTTATTACCTTAAATGTAAGTATAACACAGATGCTAAATTGATATTGAGGCAGTAAATAAATATTTATATCAATAGCCAATCATAATTTTATAAATCTTTTGACAGGATGTAAAGGTGAATTTCATTGTTATATTTGTAGCTGTAAAAGCTAAAAAATTCTTTAAATCGTAAAGTACATTTATTAGGTATATATTAATTCTTATTATAATTCAACTAGGAAGTAACCGACCTAGCAGATCCTTCTTCCAAATTACTATGCTATTGACTTTTCACTTTACACTTCATTCTTAAATACACACCGACATCAAACCAATTATAAGATAAAGTATATATTCCAAAGTCCAAACACTACTTTTCCCAATCAATATTTTTTTATTATTTTCTAAATTAAGTCAATATTGTACCTAATTCAAAAAATAAACTATGGGAGGAACTAAAATAATGATATAATTATAAAAAATAACGATAAATTATAATTACGGTAAAGAAATACAATATATTTCTTACTTTTTATTTATATTACTTAGAAAAAATTTCATTCTTTAAGAGTTTTGATAATCTTTGTATTTCGAGGTAGTTTTTGTATAGAAGCATAATATGTATTATATTATGCTAAAAACTATACAATTCCAATTTCAACTTTATTGAAAATTCTTTTCGAATTTTAGATTTTATAACTGAAAAACCAAATCCATTGTTTAAACATATTGTTAAAATTTAATTTCTACTATTTTTCGCCAAAATTATCGGCAGCTAGAAGACTGCAAAAGTCTGTAAGTAGATATAAACCTTGTTATTGATATTAATGTTATTTGGATTTTTTCAAACTTTAAAATATGCGTAACCTACTTTCACGGGCATAAAAAAACTATAATATTATTGTTTCAATGGGATGTTTCGAATTTGCGCAATGCTTAACACTAGGTATTTGGCAAGATTGTCATGAACGCTATTTTCATTGTAACGTCATATTATGTGCTATTTGATTATTTACCATCTTAATTTAAACAGTTTTAACAAAATATCGGCGAGATCGTGAGCAATTAATTTGCTATTTACAATTTTATTCAGTAAAAGCTGTCAAATTACTTTGTACATACTTATATAGCAAATATTGTGTAGTGAAATAATGTTAATTTTTTTTCTTTTGCGCCTTATTCCATACAAATGGGCGTAAATCACCGACCAGTGTTGCGCAACAAAAAATACAATTATAATAACAACACTAATAAGCAAATTGTTAAGAAATTAACGAATTATGTGAAATGCCAAATGTACAAATTGGTTGTACGAATAACGTATCCTGATATTTAGGACAATCGAAGATAGCTAACAAGATTGTAAAAGTTGTTGAATAATAATTATAATTTCATAAAAATAAATAACCGGTTTGTCAATTAAATTTATGTAGAATCAATGTTTATAATGAGAGAATAACTAATAATAATTGTATAAAATAACTAAACCATTTACAAATAACTGTCGTTGAACATGAACAGTTTGGAAGTCTGCAGGATAAACAAAGTATTAAATATTAATTATAATAACCCATAAGCATAGTATTAGAAAGAGGTCAACCACTCGGGATGAGCAACATTCGTATCGTATAGTACGTGTATTATTGATATAGGCACTAAGTACTTATCAATAAATGCGGTTATTTATTTACAATAATCAATCTAATACGGTCGTGTACATCGAGTATTTGCAATGAAAACGATTATAGTTTCACGTGGTATTGTTTACAACAAAAAAAACTGCTATGAGACCGGTTTGTATTTGCACTGCTATTAAAAAATATATAATTATTTTGTAATACCGGATGTGAAAAGCGAAAAGGCACCTCTTGTCGGCAAAGTTGATTTCCAAAACATTCGCAAACTTGAATATCTTAGTAATTTCCTTAGCTACAAAAATAAACCAGGTTTTAAATTGTCAAAAAAAAAAATTCAGAAAATAGCCCTATTCAATTTTAGGAAAATGCCAAAAAGTTGTCCCTATTTGCTTTACGCATCACATATTATAGTTTTTATGCAATTTAGTTATGTAATGTATTTTTTTTTTGCCTCAAGTAAAAACATAAAACTATTTTTTTTTAATACAGCCGATAAGGGGAATACATTTCTCCCTTCGCCCTCCCCTTAAACTCAAGTTTTCTAACTTAAGTATTATTCTTTATGCTACAACAATAATTATAGTCACAGCTCACGAGCATATACGAACTAAAGGTTTAACGAATTAAAGCACTCTGTTGTCTCCTAATGTATTGTTTAATTTACTATTTTGTACAGTTAAAAATATTGGATATTTTCTATTGGACAATTAAATTAGACAAATTTTGATTTCTATAAAAATATTTGTAAAAAATGACTGAATAAGAAATTACCTTCTTCAAAAATTCGGTAGTTAGTTCGTTGAGTTATCTTTATAAAACGACATTTGTACATAAATAATCGTGTTGCCTGAAGTAATAATTATAATAACACATAACATAAGGTCTATTTACGTCTAAATAACTATGTAAATTTAGAAAATGTGTTATAAAATAAAAACAGGTTATACACGAAATATAACAACCGGAATATAAGCGATGGTTTTTAGTGTATAATCTACTAATATAAATTACTGGTCTTGTTTACTTTTAAGCTAGAGAACACTGATATTGTTATTATGGCTAAAATAAATGTTAAATGTAGAGTAAATAAGTATTGAAAGTAGATTTAAAACAGTATAAATTTGATAAACTTTTTTGTTTATGGAATTCTTCCAAAATTACATAAAGAATAAAAATAACCAATCAACTGATGTGTAAAGTCTTTCCGTTTTCTAAAATACTAAACCCTAACCAACTTATGCACAATATTTTTTTTTTTTCGTTTTAATTATAATAATAAGTAGGTATGTGGAATAATATTTTGTGTTATATAGTGGTCATATTTTATTACTTATTTGTGCCATACTGAGATAATAATTAAAATTATGCGTACCGAAAGTATACTATGGAAATAAAATAAAATTTAGATCATCATTAATTTAATACATATAGGTAAGTAGGTTAATTATTATAATTTAAAATAATATAATAAATATGGTAGTATAAATAAATTGATGACCTATTCTTTTTTGTTTATTGAGGCGATTGTCATTTGGTATCTAAATTAAAATGTATATTAAAAATAAATTAACTGCAATAAAATATTTAAAAAGCATTGATTATGAACGCCTGTAAAATTCTTTTTAATGTCATAAATATTTGTTTAGTAAACTCTTTTAGGAAAAAAAGAAAAATTATGATTTGTATAACATAATAATATATTTTTTTACAAATATGTGAAACATGCAACACCACCGTGTCAGTAAAGTACATCTTTACCGATTGCAAGAAATATGAAGACCTCCGAACGGAATTCCATCTTCCATGAGGCAATTTTCAATTCTTTTGAGGAAGTTCTTCCAAACTCATTCTAGTGTCTCCCTCGTGATAAGTGCCACCTCTGTACGAATTGCCGCTTTCAAATCATCCAAAAAAAATTGCCGTAAAATAAATGGCATACATCAACAAACATATTACATAATTAAAACAAAATTGAAGAATTACCTTAAAAAAAAAAACAAAATGTGTCAATACAAGTTGATAAATTTTACTAACAGCAGCTTATATAATACATTTAAAATTCTTTTATTCATTCAGTCTCGTCAAGAAAAAGGTTTTTTTGTTTTTGTAAAATAGAATAATTTACAGGTACCTCTGTCAAAAGATTATTTTATGCAACATGAAATTATTTATATCTATGCTAGTAATATGTATATAAGTCGTAATTTTTACATCTTAATACCTCAGCATATTTCTGTTTAAAATTAAACATTATTGGTTATTAATTTATTCTCAATTTATGATGCGGGTTCAGTTAAGTAGGTATAAATGAAATATAAATGCGTTAGTCAGTTTTTTTTATCGTCAAAAGAAAATTTAATAACCTGCGTTTATCGTCGATATGTATAGCATGTATTTAATATTTAGTAAATAATTATACTTCTACACATTAAGTAACTTAAAACTATTTTTGACGGATATCATTTTTTCCTTTATTAAGTTATGTGTTGCACCGATCACGACGGTTAAAATCTTAATGTTTAAATTTTCTCTTACTAACTGATAACTTTTAAGAGATTATGATACTAAGATATTATTAAGAGTTACTGTTTTTTTATTAGTTTTGTTGCGTTAACTAAAAAAATCCAACTTGGTTAAATTTAGAGCAACATTTAAAAAGAATAAATTAATTCTAGTGTTTTAATTTCTAGTAAAACCAAATTTGTTTACTATGATTTTAATTATTAAAATCTTGGTCCATAAAATATATAGGTTTTATCAAATTTTCTCACACAATAAAATAGTGTTTGAAACACGTGAAAACAAAAAAAATGGGGGGGGGGGGTAAACCAGTTACTTCTTATAACACTGTTTTCCGAAAAAATTTCAATTAGGTTTTAGATTACATAAATAAAGTTTATGACTTTTGAACTATTTAATACCCATCCTAATGTATACATTTAAAAATAGCAAGATATGCGTCTATATGGCCAAAGTGTAGATGAGGTTGGCATTTTACTGTTCGTTATAATTTATAATACTATGCTTGAGAATTAAATTATTATAAGATTGAAAATAATGCAAGTACTAAGCAGTATCTAAATTCCTCCCTCTCTCCAGAAAATAAAATTCAGGCTACGCGCTGATTCAGGAGGCCCATTTAATGTAATTTACTTAAATTGTACACATAATGAAGTTAAAAAGTTTAACTTGAACTGTGTAATATGTCGATGTATGTTTTTCGAATGCGATTTGCGATCGTATTGTTGTAGTTCTATAGACCATTAAATAGACGGACTTGCAGCAAAACTCAAAAGCCCTTTGTTGGATTGAAATCAAATACAGACTATTATAACTTAATCATTGGGCACCGGGGTCAAATATAAACGGGCTTGTTTTTTTTTTATTGCACGCGCGTTTTTGCGTTTTATCACATGGCGGTAAAATTAATGCGACCAAAAAAAACACCTATGGCCAACAAACGTGGTCGCGTTACAATGAAAAGTGTGAATAAAATAAATTCGATTATACAAAAGCGAGTAAAAATAAATAAATAAATATAAACGTGATTATATTAATATATGTATATATATATTTACTATAGTATTATTGTTAGGCACGAGCAATGACCGGCAATGCCGCAACGGCGGCCGTACAGTGCAAGACGGCAACGTCGCGCGATGGTATCGCGCCAAGACAAAGGAGAACTCGCCGCCGCTGATCGCAGCAGCAGCACCGGCGCTACGTTGAGTATACCTACTATAGTTACTAAGTTGTATAATAGTAGCGCAGTCGGCGGCCATCGTATTCCAGCTGATCGGTGTATTTAGGTTTTTTTTTTTTGCACTTTGTTTTTGTTGTGTTTCTTTTCCTCTTGTCACTTTAGTGTTTTTTGTTGTATTGCATGTGTCTCACTCGCCCGGGAACTTTCGTCGGTGTTATCACGGTGTGCCGCATATCATATCGTCGTTTATTGTCAACCGCGAGCGAACGTGCGATACATGGCACGTTTGATGTGCACTACAGTCCAGTTCAGATCGCTGCCCAGTATTGTATTGTTATTATTATTGCACAATCGCATGTTATTCCACTGTCGAATTCGACGCCCAGATTGCCGTGCTGCCGTTTCCGATTCTGCTCGCGACGGCCGTACTTGAGAGACGATTGTCGAAAACAATAGCGTGGACGAGTGAAATGACCTACAGTGAAAATGTGGTGTTTCGTAAGTCAACCCAACGCCGTCGTCATAGAAGTCAGGCTTGACCATAAGGCCAAGGGCCTGGAATGCCTCGAAAAGGTGATTTTAAACATTTAAACAAATTTTTATTTGACAAAAAAAAAAAAACTCGTTTGTGTATGCCATACAAGGTATTCTCGTATATAAGTGGTAAACTAGGCACGATAATGATTCTATGTAAGTTGCTATGCAATATTGCAGACAAAATTGGTTTGCGACATGATCAGACGTTTTTTTAGGTACAAAAACCACCTATTTATATGGTTTTTTGAGGTATTTTTTTTCCTAACGTATAGGTATTCCCGTGTAGTCCAAGTCGAATTTTCAATTTTAACATTAGCTTTGAACCAAACCATCCATATTTTAGCAAAATTATTCAAAACGTTGTGATAAATGTTCCCATCTAAATATAAGAGACTATGGTAATCAACTAAATTAGAATCGGACACATTTGGCTCGCACACAGACGTGTAATGAAGTAACAAGAAGCAGAACAATGTGAGACCTGGAATATTATAACAAATTCAATTAAACATATTATCATAAAATGTATAAAAAACCGAGGTGTCGAATTTGTTTTATCAGAACATCTACACAAAGCTATAATACCATCACAAGCCGAAAATCCATTTCTAAAAAAAAAGCAATGTTATTTAATATTATATAAACCAACCATCGTAATTTATTATAGAAATCTTATCTTACTGTAGTCTGTATCAATTTTAATTTACTTACTATTATAGCCAATGACCCTGTCAAGGGTTATTTATAATATAAATAAAAAAAATACTTTACACATAAAATCATTATAGAATTTTAGCACTTTTTAAAACCCTTTTTATTTATAAGTAAAATTACATATTTAACTAATGTGTTATTGCTCAGTGGCTTGCTCTCTCCCCTCGTGTTTTCTATTTAAGCCCTTACTGAGTTATCTTGTACATGGGTCTCTTCTGCAGGTAATTTTCAGCTGTTAGTTATCAATATAAACAATTATTCACTAAAATTATTCTTTCTATTGTTATGTACATCGTACCCATTTTGACACATTTGTAAAAACGGAGCTAGTTGTCTAGCGGCTAGCCGTACAAAAATTATTTAACATATTAGGTACTTAATTGTTGTAATTTTCATTTTAATGTTACATTTTGATTATAAGTATTTATAAGGTTTCTATCATTAAAAACCATTTTTTTTTATAAGGTTTTAAATTTGTAAATTATAAAGTCTAAAGAAAAAGAAGTTAACTGATAGGGATTATTAAATTTTAATAGTTATAATATTTATTAAACAGTTTTTACCTTCCAAAAATGGTTAAGGAATCTATTTATTTTGTCATTGTGTTTATCAGAAAATTGGTATATTATATTAGTTAACCTGTTTTTAACTTGTTCATGCAAATAAGCACATGACCCAAAGCTTTTCAATCACATAAATTATCCTATTAAAAATTATCATAAAATAGTATAAAATTATATAAAATAGTTTAATATACTCTATAATTTACCTGTTACCCGATATTAAAATATAGATTCTGAATAAAGAGAAGTGGCTTTAAATATATTTTTTATGGCTGTTATTTATCAATATTGATTTAAGATAATATAGCTTACGTAGTTGAGTTAAAAATAATTTAATTTCTGTAATATGATAACCAATTTTTTTTTTCATAACATGTATAGGTTTTTAACTGTCATATAAGTACTTAAAAAATGTATATTAGTAAGTTGTATTGTAATTGCTATTAAGATTAAATTATTTGTTTGCAATATGGTAAGAGAGATAAAGGAAAAGTACCTACTTGTTATTATAATAAATTATAAATTAATGTTTTATTGATTTTTTTCTTAAAATTTGTCTACTAAAATAGACTGATGTAGTTTTGTACACTTTTTTAGGCAATAATACTTATTGGTCTTAAATGCAAATAATTTTTAAAAAAGTGGCATCAAATGAATGATTGTAATTATTTTCATTTCTTATGTAGGTTTGCGAATGTTTGGGCATTAATAAAGAATGTGACTACTTCGGCTTGCAGTATAAAACTGTCAAAGGTCAAGATGTATGGTTAAATTTAAGGAACCCAATTGAAAACCAAATTAATGGTGTTCAACCATACAGATTTGCACTTAGAGTCAAATTTTGGGTACCACCACATTTATTGTTACAAGACTCTACACGGTAAGTTATAAAAATAAATTACACATAGTTATTATTTATTTATAATATATAATATATAATTGATATTGACAATGATTAGCAGCCCCAAAATAAAGGGTAGAGATAAAAGTGCACATTTTAATATAATTCCAATAACATTAAATAGGAATATTTTAGTGCCCTCTTATGAAAACTAGCATGTTTAGTTGACAAACAAAAAAAACACTTCAGCCATTAGTTTATCCTAGCTGAAATGTTGTTTCATTAGCAAAATAACATGTTTTTTTTTTGCTTAACATTGATTTATGTATAATACATTTTTAGGTCTAATAGTTTTCTGTAATATATTGAAACAAATATCAATGTTTTCAAATGTTCATAATCTTTTTAACTAACAAACTTGTTGCTTGTTATAACTACAGTTGTTGTTATTTACAGTTTATTATTACTACTATTCTTTTTCGTAGGTCAACTTTATTATACATAATTTATGATTTATTTTACCAAGACTTCAGAGTTATCTAAAGTTGTTATTCAGACTGCATCTATTGCATACTATTTATGATAATATTATAAGTTGCATTTCAATTTGTATACTTCAACATAGTTAATTGGTCCAAGCGATTTAAATGATTTGTTAAGTATTATATATTGTATTTGAATTTTATTTGTTCACGACCATTTAATCTACACAGACCAAAAAGAAAAAGTATTTACAAACATAATACCTTTGTAACCATTAGAATTATTTGTACAGGAGATAGCTCACTTCAATTCAGTTTAGTAGGTTATAACATTACAGAATATTGTAAAACATCAGAATTTATATAAATCCTTATTTATTAAAAAAAAAAAAATAACTTACCTAATACCATTGATTATAAATACATTATTTATAATCAATACTAATACTTATTACACTAAGATCACCTTTTTTTTAAATTTTATTTATTAGGCAAGTTATTTTATTAAGATATTTTTATATGATAGAAATCTGGTATATACTTGTATAAAATGATTAATTTTGTTGTAACTAGAGAAAAATAATGTCCAACAAAAATAATTGCCTGTTGCACACCAGCAGCTCACTTGTGTCATAATTATAATGTTAATTATAACAGTTTACGTTAAAAGCAAAAATTAAAATAATTATTCTTGTCATTATAATAATTATGTGTATTTTTCTCACAAAACTTATTAGTTATTAGATTATGTAAATAATATATAAATTTTGTTTAATGCTCAGATACTGATTGTATTAAAAAAATGAGGTAAAATGATTAATGAATAAACTATTTGTAATATGGCTGTTGACATATTACTAAATTAGTTGGTCTTACATAGAGCAAAATAAATTAAAAATAATCTGATATTGTTTCAACTGTTCACTCTGGTAACGAAATTCTATTATAGTTTAAAATTAAGATAATATCGTTTTCAATCAGACACGTTTTTGAAGATTGCCCAAGTATATCTCGGGAATTTTAATAAAGAAATAAAGACTTACTATTTTTTTGTATCTATTTGGTTAGCTAGTTGAAAGTCGTCTGTCATATATTGTTTAACATTGTACTTGTAATAAACCCAAATAAATAAACAGGTTGGATAAAATATAATTATCAAAAATAAATAAATATATTTTTTTAGTTTCTCCCTGAAGATGGTAAGATTGTTAAATTTTTTTGTCTAATACACAAATTGTACAAACATAAATATAAATTAAATTTTTTTTTTTTTTATATTTAAATTAATTTTATTACCTACTTTCAAATTTATTACTATGTAGGCAAACCTGTATGCAGTGGCCGGTTTGTCTTATCCAACTTACTTGCCCATTTTTTTTTCTGCTCGAACGAATACGATTTTTTTTTTAGTTGTAATGGAAAAAATAATGTTTAAAAACACTATTTTCGTAGTTCGTACTCGGGTTTCCTAGAATGTTAGCCGATACGTCCCAAAAGGTCGAGGACGACTTGCAGCTAAATAATTTTTCCTTGGCCCAGCCGCGCTTATGTTTTGCTCAGTGTGTTAAGTAGATTGCACGAGGTCTTTTTTTAAGGAGTTTTGTATAGGAAATATTTAATTAAAAAGATCATAATAAATTTTGACCATTTTAAATTTAAATCATTTTTTTAAGAGTAAAAGCCATTTTGGTTTATTTTGGACCAAGCCAGACAAAATTTCAATTACATAAAATGGTTCAATGTCAATTCTGTAAAGAGGTTTGAGTTCTTTGGCTACTTTACTATGTTATGTAGGAAGCTGATTTTCATTTAAAAGTTTCTTGTAATAAAATTAATTAAATTTGCATTTTTCTAAATAAAAAAAACCCAATTTTTTACATAAAAAAAACAAAAATCAAAACTCTGTTTTCTACATAACCTAGTAAAGTTGCCAAAAAACTCGTTTCACTTTATATAGAGTTGTAATCGTACCATCCTAAGTAGTCGAAATTTTGTCTAGCTTTTTGATCTAAACCGTCAAAAAAACAGACCGCGTGCAATCCCCTTAACCACTTGGTCAATTGTTTTAGTTTCTTTTGTAATATAATAAGCTTATTTTACGCGATTTATTATTTCACATGAAAATACAAATATAAAAGATCAATTAAAATACGTTTTTAACTAATATACCTATCTAAGATCTTGGCGATTCTCCTCCTCTTTTTATTTTGTCGACATCATAACAATATACATCCATTGGAATATTTTATCGCCGTCTGTAAACGATTGCGCTAATCAATTACTAGTTTTACGCTGGTACACGATTAAAGAATATCTTTAATCGTGCGCTGGTAGCAGACGCTTTCGTTAAAAAGATAAGAAACCATGTACGTTAATGTTAGGTAAGGTTAGTATAATTGCAAATTACTAATATTCCAGATGTTATTCTCAGTCGGTAAACATAACATATTAATATTATAATTTATAGTATGCATTAATAATATGTTATATATTATGCAACCAACATTGTTTTTTGCCAGAGTCATGTACAGTACACATTTTATGTTTTAATGATGCGCCATTTGAATTCAGAAACTTTTTCAAAATCAAGAAACTTATATAATATTATTATAGGCTACAGTGACTGCATTCAGTGTCAACTATGCGTTGGCGTTCTTATCATCGGTTTAAGAGTAGTTGTGTATTAAAAGTATTAAATGACCAAATAATAAAAAACAAATTTTGTTGTGCGAACTACGAGATTGAAATTTATTTGATTATATGTAATCTCTTTCGAGACACTGAAAACTGAACTTTGCCCGGTAGATAAGGTATCGTACAACCTAGGATCTGTGCCAGACACGTTTGGCGTGTGCGAATAATTAATATTGTTATATTTTATTGCAGTTGACCTTATACAGCTGATGATAAATTAATCCAACCTGACATTTTACATTCAAAGATCTCCAAGTGATTGCTTCAAACACCTAACTCGTTTGTGCTAAAAGTACTTTGTAAGCACTAATCAGTAATGGAAATAAGTTTAATTAATTTGGAAAATTTTAATAAAAATCTACACTTGCTCGTTTTGATGCACAATATTACATATTATTATTTTTTGTGATAGTCAAATAATTTTAAAATGTTTTGGAATTATAAAAAAGTCAAAGGTACTTGAAAAGAACTTTGTTTGAACTTTCTAACAACTTTCAAAGAAAGCCATGCCTGGTTTTATAATAGCAGAAAGTTGCTTTACAATTATTGTTTATTCAACTCCATTGCTATTCATTAAATAAGTCCGGGTAAAAATGTTCAGAGAAAATATGACCAAGTAAAAAATTTCTAAGACCAATAAATATGCAAGTATATTACCTGCATATGTATAGTGTATTTTTTTGTGGTAAATGTGTTTTAAAATATTTTATTATTTAACTATATATTATTATGTATGGCAAAAATAAACGTTTTGTTTGTTGCTCAGGTTTTTTCTACATAACATTTTCTCTTTAACATTTTTTATGATAAATGTATATAGATTGACATATATTTAATTATATGTTTGTACAAAAACTATGGGATTTTGTTTATGTGTATATTTTGATGGTAAAATTATTAAGACATTTATTTCAGTAGACATTTTTACCGGCATCCCATAAAACATTACTTTGCAGGGCTTCTATTGATTATTTCATTAATTTTTTTTTTAGTAGTTTTATAATTTAGCAAATTAATAAATTAAAACATACTATGTGGGCAGTGTGAGTAAAAACTACTAGTTAAATTTTGGCATTTTAAACGAGATGCTGTGAATTCAGACAATAATTATTGTTGAAAATAATTTTCTATTTAAAACAACAAAAAGAAGATAATTCGCTTGGGTTTGTACCAAAAGTCTTTTAGGATTATTTAATTTTGTTAATGTGCGAAATATCAAAAGGAAAGGTTAACGTCCATTGCACTCGTCAATGCCAAAAATACTGCAAAAAAGTTCTATATAAAATAATTCAAATATTTTTAGCCAAGTTTAGGTTTTGTCTTTTTTTTTACGGTTCTTCACGGGACACGATTCTCGACATAGTTGTTAGTATTTTTTTTTTTTTGTGGAAGGTGACAATATATGTGCGCGGGGAGAAAGTGTATCGATAACGAAGTTTCTAATTTGCACACAATGGTGTTGTGATTTTTAATCGATTTACTGATCTATGCCTTGTTGTTTGTTTGTGCACTGGCCGTCTAAATACCATTCGGGGTCGGACTAATAATAAAATTTAAAATTCCGATTGGTAAATTAACATTTTTTGCTTGCCCTTGCAGAAACCCACATGGCCACATCATGTGGTCGTTATTCTTATCAATTGTTCGTTCGTAGATTTTCGTCATTATAATATTATATTATGTATAATAATATTTTAGGAGTTCAATGCTACACCTTTTTTGTGTGCGTCTCATGTTTACTTGGCTCCTGCCGCCCCAGCCGTTTGTTGATTGCACTTACATGGCCTTGGCCAAGCTTTTCGGTCTTGTACAGTTTTACACTTGTAATTTTAGTATTGTAATAAATTATGGATAGCAAATAGG